GGCTCGTCAACACGCGAGAAAAACACATCCAGAGATAACCAAGTCCTGTGGGGAAGTAGGAACAAAATGGCCTCTCTCTCTGGTGGGGAGAGTGCCCGTTCCCCCTCCGGAGAGGCTTTTTATTGGTTTTGTTTGCATAAGAATTCAGGTAAAGCTTATGACTCATTGCTAGGAAGTAAGGCTCAAACAATAGGTAACAAGGAAGCCTGAGGGCCTATTTTGAGTCAGGGTCAAAGAGCTGTAAAACTTTGAGGAACAAACTAACTTCTTCCCTGGACCCTCATCATTCAACTGAGAGCATTCTAGACAAAGCAGGTTTCACAGGATTTTACATATTCTTTCTTAGGCCTGATCACCAGGGGAACCCGCCCTTTTCAGCACAGAGCTGCACCACCCTGTCATTGTTTCAGGCTTAGGTGGAGCAAGGGAACTAAGGCAACCAGGAGATAAGGAGATTTTCTCCCAGACAAAGAGGACCCGGGCTTTGTCAAAGCTGCGGAGCGAGGGTCCATCACCCCCATTTGCTGTAGCTCCCAAAGTCCTTTCTTGGGGGCCTCCCACGTGATCATGCCTGTCTTAGATTGTTCCCCCCTTGAGGAATCTTACCCATCATTGGCTAACTGACCAAGCATCGGGGGTCAGTTATGAATGAAGCAGCAGAAGCACTGCTCCTTCCAGGGAGATAAGCTTTTGTCTCCTTGCTGGCTTAAGGTCCAAGGTCACTCCCTCAGCCTTAACCTTGGCGGGGGTTTCAGCTTCTGATACCAGGCAGGGCAGTTCCCAACATTTTACCCCTTGCAATAACATAGATGGACCTAGAGAACACTATGCTATGTGAAATAAGCCAGTCAGAGTAAGACAAATACCATATGACTTCACTCATACATGGAATCTAATGAACAAACCGAACTAACAAGCAAAGCAGAGACTGACTCATAGATGGAAAGTAAGATGACAGCTAGTGGCAGTGGAGATTAGGTGGAGGGGGGTTTATGCAAAAAGGAAAAGGACTCATGGGCATGGACAACAGGGTGCTGATTGCTGGGGGCGGGGGGGAGTATAAGGTGACTAAATGGCAATGGGAAAATTACAATAAAGATTAAATTAAAAAAGAAAGTTTTCCTCCAGAATCCCATATATGCTGGAAACCAGTTTTTCCAACCAACGAGGGCCAATGTTAGCCATGTTTGATTTTGTTTGTCTTGAGCCTCCCGTGTTACATAAGGAAGCAAAGTCTCCAGTCCTGTATGTTTTGCCCAAGCTCCTGATCCTTTGGCTCAGTCATATCCTGTCTGGTGCCTCAGACAACTTCCCTCCTCCATGGGCCCCTCCCTTCACAGGGAGGGCACACTGCTTGTAATCTTCAATTCCACCTAGTGATTTTCTCCCTGCTTCCTGCCTTCTTCAGGGATTTGTCCTGACCCCTCCATTGCATTCGTGCTACCTGTCACTACCAGAACCAGTAAGTAGAGAGGAAGATTGAATCTTTATGGGTGCTTTATTCTGTTGCTGGCAGTTTAAGAAGATGGTGGACTATGTACCCTAAAACAACTGTCTTCACATCTCTTCTTAGGTCAATCTTTTTATAAGAAGAAGGATGGTTAGTTAAGGGTTTTGGGAAATAGTTTAATTGGGTAAGAGTTGCAGTCTGTTGGCAGCTTTCCTAGTACTTCTTTAACTGTTGATCAGTAATTCTTTTCGTGTCGTGAACTTCCCTCCCTGGAACACAATGGCTCAGATACCATGTCCATTTCTTGCAGACCCCCTGGGGCACAAAATTGAATTGCTTGTGACCTGCAGCAGTCAGACTGTCCTGCATTCCTGTTCCTCGAATAAAAGCTTTCCACGTGCACTAATCACTTAAGCCTATCAATTACGGCTGAAGCTAAAATCTTTACCTCCTGAGTTCCCCTATCAATGTCATTAGGTGATTTTCTTCCTTGACAAAGGTCAGTCTTTACCTTAACTGAGCCTGTCTACTGATTCTGCATCTAGGATAACACACTTTTGGAATGCCAGGGTAATCTTTTTCCAGAACTCCTCAGGAAAAATCTCCCACCAGAGCAGAGACCATGAAACCCCTCTTTGTTACCTTGTTGCCCAAATATCATCTCTATGTATTTAAATTTTAATTGTTCACTGTCCTGTACCCACCAGTGTAAAAGAAGCACTTGTCTATCCATTTTACTCTACCCATTCTCAGAGAAAGTCCGGCTATTGTCTCCCTAACCTACTACCAATGAGTTTCAGATAACCTCCTTATGCCTCCTTTGATTGTAACGCATACAATAAACTGCAAAACTGCCATTCCCCAGAGCATTTTCTCAATCCATTGAGTTTTTGCTTTCTGGAAATTATGGTTGGTTTGGCTCAAATAAACTCCTGAAAATCCTTTACAGGTTTGGACATTTTTTACATAGACATCCTTATGCCAAAGAAGTGTATTTGGACGTGGCAAGTTCTTCTCCTCCTCACACCCAAGAGATTAATATTAATTCCAATTAATTTAATTCTTCTTATTATTTGTACTAAAATTTTCATCTCTTTAAAACTACTAAAAACACCACATATGTTTTCATGAGTGATACTGATATGCTTAAAAGAATTGTCAAAAGCTTTGAAATTTAAAAAAAAAATTAATAACACTTGAACCTAGAAATATAAGACTAAATATATTTCACTATTATATTTTTACATATTTAAATGTTAATTTTTAGAGTTATTTTATCACAGGTTTTAGCTGAGTAGTTACAAATCTTTATTTTGCATATAGCTTTTTTAGTTTCTTCAAACCATACATGACATTTAATAATTTGAACTCCTTAGAGTTCTTTTGGGTAAAAAGTGTGGATGAAACGGGGGTATATACAAGTTCAGCCACCAAAAGTAACATCACAGGTTGATCTGATTATAAATTCCTAACTGGGCAGGTCAAGGTTGGGTAGTCATGCTACGAGGCTATAACCTCTTTAGTCAATGGTTTTTAAGCCAGCCCTGTGCATTGTTCATCTGGGATAAAACATCGTTTAGCCAGAAATAATTCCAGAGACCTGGAAGGCTCAGAGAGCATATAATTTTAATAATCCCATACCTTATTTTCTCCCATCTTCCTCTAATCTTCCTTATATTCTACTCTTAATTCCAAATGTATAAAAAAATCAGCAAAGCTATCTATCATTCTCTGAAGCCTTTAAGATCTTGCTTCCCAGCACTGTGATCAATTTGACTTAAATAAACTCATAAAAGTTTTCTACAAGTTTAGAAGTTTCTTACATCTTCACCAGCATTTATCAGGAGATTGCACTAATATTTTTACTCTTATTCAGTCTATTGTTTAGTATCCAAGTAAAACTAACAAATATCAACTTTCTTAATTTTAACTGTAAGATTGTGTTTTATTGGTCTTTAAGATGCAAGATAAAAAGAAAAATTAGTACTACCACCTTTGGAGATTTGGAAATGATTGTAATACTTTATAAATCATTCTGAAATGTAAAATTACTATTACTATTATCATTAATAGTTATCAATAAAATTGAAAATATTTGTGGAATATTCTAAGATTTCATAGTGTTCCTTATAAAAATAAGTTATATTCTATGGCTATCAATGTAATTATAAACTGAATAATAGCTTGGAAAAACTAGTCTTATTGATGTATTTTCTATGCTTTCTATATTTAGATATGCCTTATTAATCAAAAAGCCAAATAGCAAATCTGTGTTTAGCAGAAATTTCACTTCAGAGGGGGATCTTTAGTGCAGCTGAATTAGCAGCTGACAGAGTCAAGTTTCAAGAACCCTGGGTTGGAGTCATAGCAAGATAGGTGGTAAGTCCTGGAAGTCATTTAACATGTGGCCATGGTGGATAATTTTCTTTTCAGTAAATGGCACAATGGTATCTGTTTTCTCTATCTCATATAGGCTTGGAGTTCATTGTCCAAGCTGCTTCAGTGTCCTCATATAGTAAATTGGCACAGGCTCACTGCATGCAAAATAAGCAGTACTAGGCTAATGTGATCTACATGTAAAAATAGTTGGTTGAGTGCAGCAAAGTTGTTTGGAGAAAATTCTCTTTAAAAAATTACTTATATGTATAAATGTTGGTAAATTTATTAACCAAGTTTTAAATATGACCACTGGAAAACTTTAGTGTTTAAAAAATAAACATACACCAATTTATCTTCTCTATTCTTTGAAATTTCAGAAATAAGTTGTACATCTCAGTTACCTAATGTTGTCTGTATGTTTATGTATTAGAAAAATATGTAGGCAGAAGAAATTGAATACAATAAATGCTACTAAACTACACTTAGAAATGGTTAAGATAATAATTTTCATGGCATGCATTTATTAACTATATGTTTTTTTAATCATTGACACTTCTTATCATCATATACTTATAATGGCATTGTTTTTCTGGGAAAAAAGTGATAAAAAATCTGACCACATGTTCATTTTGGGAAATTTCAGATTTACTAACAGTTTCTTGACACAAACTATTAATATTTTCTTTGGTTATTGGATTTCAACACTTTCTAACAGCTGCAAAATAAAACTCAATTCCATAGTTTATACTGACTCAAGAAGATGGATTTCTTGCCTTTTCTAGATCTTGTACATTTGTCAGATGTCTCATTATGGTATGTGTGTTTTCTAAGCACCAATATTAACTATTTCAAGTGAATGCTTACAGAAGAAAATAATAAAGATTGAATTTGTTTAAGTATAGTCTTTAAATATTAGAGAAAATAAACATGTTTGGATGGAAATATATACTTCTTAAATTTTGAAAAAATCAAGCAATAAAAATTGCCTGTCTTTCTTGATTAAAAAAGATACACAGATAAAAGCAAATTTTCTATTATTTATTAATTGTATTTAAAATTTACATGGATCTATCAAGGACATTGTGTAATGTTTCCCATTAAACAATTACAAACATTTGACATGAAATACTGTGCATATCAATGTAACAAGTCTGAAAACATGGACTGAGAATCTGAAGTCGGCCTTCATTTTAACAATGATCATTAACATCCCAAATGAATGGATCATAGATTTCAAAATTCTAAGTTTTTTTTTTTAAGTAAAGAAAATTCTAAAGGACATTAACATGCAGTGGATATATATAACATTCAGAATAACTAGCTCCCATGCTTACACTGAACTCCATATAAGGCCAAGCCTATAACTGTACTGATATTTTGGCTCAGTGTGTTCAAAAAGCGAAGCACTGTGATAAGCCTAATGAAAAAAATCCTTTGTGTTTGCCAGCTTCAGATTGCTAACATGATTGCAAAAAAATGCAACCATTACCTCTGACGATATTTGCAGCTTTGATTATTAGCAGGACAGTTTGTCTTCTGAATGCATGACACAAGCGTGGATCAGTTTCTTTAATTGCCCTTGTAGCTTAGGAAAATGAGGAGGCAATATGTTTGTTTTAATAAAACATCATTGTACCTCCTGGTATGACCACATCTGATTAGGAAAATGGTAAACCAATCAGAATCTGTCAGATTGAAATATCATGTCTTCTATACTTGGCAACCTCTTAAATATTGCCACAAATTATAAAACAATTGTAAATTATGAAATTATCCATGTCACAAATATCAGTCTCTTCTAATTGCTGAAGAAAACCAAGCCTTTGGTAACTAGTTATTGTATGCTGCAATACAAAACAAATTACCAATAACCATTCTTAAATTAATACGTGGCCAAATATTGTTCCTATAGCAGTTTGATATTTTCTGGTTTTCTTTAATTCTGTTTGATCTTCTACCTCTTTTGACATCAGTTGGTAAATCTGCAGAAATCCATGTTCTTGAAGAGTTTTCATCTCAGGAAGTTCTCATTTTCGCCTTCTGATATAAAAATAATCACTTCAGCAAATAGAATCTCTCCAAATAGAAACAAGTCAAGGCTGCTTGATGACTACTACACAGGCACCTGCTCTCCCGATATTCAAGGAAGCCATCTGTTGCAAAGATTAAACACAGAAAAAAGTTACTTCTCAGCCCTGGCTGGTGTAGCTCAGTGGATTGAATGCGGGCCTGTAAACCAAAAGGTTGCTGGTTCGATTCCCAGTCAGGGCACATGCCCGGTTTGTGGGCCAGGTCCCCAGTAGGGGACATGTGAGACACAGCCACACATTGATGTTTCTCTTCCTTTCTACTTCCCTTCTCCTCTCTATTAAAAAAAAAGCTAAAAATAAATAAAATTTTTAAAAAAGAAAAAAGTTGCTTTTGTGGAAAAACATACAAATTGTAATATATTTAAAGCACTTCCATAAATGAAAATCATAAATATTTTTTTTTTATTTTTCAGTTTAGCCAACAGTGGTACAACAAAAATGGAAACAATGAAAATGTCTTTACAAAAGAGAAATAATTTGTATATTAAAATTCTTAAAACCTGTAATCATTTATGAAATTTTAATAAAAGTTATAAAATATTTATTGTTTTTTTGTGTAATAAAACTGTTATAGAAGTTTTCAGAAAATATTTATTCTAGAATTTGCATGGACATACTTGTGAAGATATTTCATAGTGATAGGCTAGAATACATTGAGATGAAATAGCTATTATACTTACAGAAATCATTTCAAAGTAATTTCCCCTGATATACTAAATTGAATATGTTACTTATTCATTCTGAAGATAGGCATACAATGAACTAACTTCAATATTTTGTCATGAATAGGCCATAATTACAATTGGTATGGGGCTTATTTTAAGAATTCCACCTTATGACAGCCATTGAGATGAGGACTGACATTTTTTAAAAAATCATGAATATGAAATTGGCAGAAGTATATTAAAAACAATAACCATTACAAAGTTGTAATGAAAATTTATTCCATGGAGGTAAGCCAAAATGAAAATAATTTGAGCTTTTTCATATCAGTGATTTTTATTACAGTTTTCTAAGAATAATTTATGTACATGAAAATTTCAGGGTAGACTAGAAATTGCTGGATATTATTTCAACCTGAAAAGAAGGTAAATAATATGTAAGAAATAAAATAGTGAAGAGTATAAAGACCTCAGATCACATACATTATCTTATTGATTGAGAAAGAGCATGGTCTTACTCTAGAAAAATGAAAATTATCACCATTATATGCTAGTCCTTTAAATGTACTTATTGATTCATGCCACCCCTTCATAGATTAAAAAAAAACTTGCCATATGATATTTTTAATTATTTTTATTCAGTACAGTATTTTTAAAAGCTCTTTTAATGTAACATTTCTTGTCTTTATGACAGTTAATTGCTCAAAATGAGAGGAGAAAAGGGGCATGTGAATACATTGATAGTATATTGTATGTTAAGAATAACTTTTACAGGTCACTACAGTCACCTTAATAATCTCATCATATATTGTTATCTTTGCATAACAGATGTGAGATGGAGTGTTAAGAGACAATATGTAAATCCCATAACATCACGTAAACAAACTGATATGTGTCTGAAAAGTGTGCACACTTTCCATTGTCTCTCTCCTAGTTTCTAATGATTTTCAAGGGTTGTTTGACATCACAGTCATCTAAAGAACTTTTACAAAATGTGCTCAAGTCTTACCACTATATAGGAATGGGACAAGTATTACGTAGTCATATTTTTTCAGTTTTCCCAAAATTCTCTGGTGTTCTTTTAATTCTGAGAAATACTGTGCATCATTTTCCAACAAAGCAGAGAGTGAAGAGCTTCACTTTATATCTACATCTATATGTCTATACACATATACTTGCATTTATTAAAATTAATCTCTGCTCTTTCCCCCCAAAATATGCTACTCTCGTGTGCCTCCTATTTCACTGAATGACACCACTATGCTTAAAAGAAAAACCCAGAGCATGCTGGTGATCCTTAGTTGAACCTCCCTCAAACTTACATCTAAATACTCATCAGGTCTATTAGTATTTCTCCAAAGAAATGAATTACTCCCCTTCCTACTACCTTCAGCCTAATTCAGGTTACAATTTTACTCTGAATATGAATAGCATAAAAATATGTCACTCCAAGATATTCCACTTTTACTGTTGTTTAATTTAAATTAAAGGTACTTGAGAGAGAAGCAGTGCAGGAAGGAAACTCTTACCCTCTTTGGTTGCCCTGACATCAGGAGATAAATCTCCTGGGTGAAAGGTATGCACCTTGTGCCAAGAGGGTAGAAGACATCATTATCAATAGAGATTCGAAATTTATGGCCACAATGCCATGCAAGCAAACCTGTTACTTCTTCACCAATTTACTACTCCAAGCCCAGATCCTTCTGTCTTGTCAACTTTTCACAAATTTATAGTTTCTGTGTCTAAATGGTATAAAATGTTTTGTCTTTGGTAATTTTTTTGAATTTCATAGATTTGTGGGATTCCTGTAAATATAGATTTAAGTTTCTTTTCCTCTTGTTAATCTGTTCTATGTTAATTTAATTATTAGACAAGCCAAAGAACTTAGAAAGGAAGAGGGAAAATTTTCCCACCCTCGAATGGATCAATAAAATAATCTTAACATATTTCCTTGACTATAATCTTGTTTTCTCCTAATCATTTTTTATATCCTATAAAATGCAATTCTTTTAAAACACAATTCTGATTATTTACTTTTCCTGCTTAAAATTCTTTATTAACTCACCTTTAGTGTTACTATAAAGTCAAAATTCTGTAACATGGTTGTTGTCCATAGGTGATGCAGACTCTTCTTTATCTCTCCAAATTCAATGCTCACCGCTTCATTTCTTGCCCAGTGAAACATGCTGTGCATTCCCCTTCCTGTGGCTCCTTACAAATTCTGTTCCTTCACCCACTCCCCATATTTTCATCTGGTTAGCTATAACTCATCTGTCAGCCCTTATTCTACATATCATTTTCTGAAAGAAGGTTTCTGTACCCAACACATTTAGGTTCTATTAAAGTGCTAAGTATTTCCCTTACCACATAATTTATCATGCTATTTTAAGTATTTGATATATTCTACATACATACATATATTGCAAATATTCAAGAGAGCCTTTCTTCTTTCTCCCATGGTCCAACTCTATCTATCTATCTATCTATCATCTATCAATCAATAGTACTGAATATGGATTGGATAGTTGTATTTTTGCAATTTGTATAAAATGTATGTTTTATATATATTAAAACATTATATATGTTCATATAACCTACATATATGCTATATACAGATTATATAAATACATATAAACATACCTATACAATCTATATATAGTATATATACAGATTGTATGATATGTATGTTTATATGTATTTATATATAATCTGCCTTGCTCTCTCTCCAAGCATATACTTTTCTTCCTTAGATGATAACCTGAAAATTTGGCCAAGGCTCCAATTAGAAAAAGCAACTGGGAATGTAAATATCTCACCAGGCGTCTTTTGGAACTCATTCCCAGTATCTGACATATCTGTTGTGTGCAAATAAACTAAATCCACGCACAACAGAGCAAACTAACAGTAATTCTCAATTTATATCTGAAACATTCACATATCTCTTGCCCCATGTCAGCCTTCAGGGACACGACAGTAATGCTATACTATCTGTGTTTTTTTACTGCAGGTGGATGCAGCATGAGAGCACTATGATCACATAACGTGAAAGGGTTATTTTATCCAGGCTGGAAGAAATTGAATAAAGCTTTTTTTCTTTTGTCTTGAAACACATATATTTTTTTCAAATCAAATGCAAGAAATAATCTCAATGTTAAATGATGAGGTCAAACTTACTTAAAACACATACATGCATGCATGTGTTCTCTGTAAAACTATCTAAGACATGAATCTGACGATTGCTCCCAATCAATTCCCATTGTTTCCAAAAGCTAGCTTGAGTAGTTTTCAAAATATACATTTTGATTTTTCAATACAGTTTACTTGTTTATTCTAATGTTTATCCATTTGGTAGTGCCAATGATAAATAAGGTACACAATTAATTTTGTCCATTTATAATAAAGGGAAAGTGACAGAAATTATTCAGCAAATACAATGATTTTTTCTAGTGGCCTGGAATCCTGCAGATTATCCCAAGAATATCATGTGGGTCTCCTGATGGCCCCTCAAGGGTCTTAAAATATAAACAATAAAAGCATATAGATGCAAAATCTTAAAGTAATGTAAGAGCTTTAACATCAATGTTTATTATACTAAAATAACATCATTATAAAACATTTTAAACACCACTTTGCTATTTGTAAGATATTACATTCTCCAAAAGAGAGTTATAAAATTCAGACGAGGGAAAGTGGTTTTTAGGAGTCTTTTACAGATTATTACAGCACATATTATTCTAATTTCAACTTTAAAAGAATGATATGCATAATGGCTCATTATTATAAATATATAATAAAGACATCATACTATATCATATTTATGTCCACAAACTTCTTTTATGTTCATTTGTGAAAGCAGCACATTTAAAATACCATGAACTAGTATATTTCTTTAGCAAATCAACAATCATTAATTCATGTATTGCTTTCTTTGTAAACACTAAGGGCCCAGAAAAATAAGAATTTAAAACATATGCTCTAATATTTTAGTGTAATAGTTACCAGCTTCTTTTATATTTTCTGCTCTTTAAAAAGGAATGCTACTACTTTCACAATTAAAGTAAAACATAGAAAATCGCAGTACCTAGTTCTTCAAATATGTCCCTTTTTTTTTCCTTTTGTCATTCTACCTTCTCTCTTTCTTCTTAGTGAATTTTATCTATCCTCACTAGAGTCGAAGGATTTTCTCAGAGGGAAGAGTATGATTCATAAAGCCAAGTACCTTAGCCTGTCCATTAAGAATTTGGTTTTGTACTTAGATGCAGCTTTTCTAAATATTGTGTTTGAACACATGTCTAAACTGGGACAATCAAGGGAGTTATGTATCTTTTAAAATTAAGTATTTTTAAAAGAAATTTATTTCAATATGTGTTTGAGGTTTTCAGATAAATTTTAGTCAGGTTCTGTTAGGAATATAAATTGATGAGGTTATTATTCTGCTTCAACTAAAGAAGTCTATGGAATTTCACTGTGCCCATTCATGGGAAGGGTTTCTTTGTAATGTGTTTTGCTTTTACTTTCTAATAAGGAAGCAAGAAAAAAAAAAGAGAGAGAGAGAGAGAGAAAGAGATTGAGATACATGGAAAAAAAGGAAAAGAAAGGAGAAATTGAATATGAGGGCCCAAGTCTGAGAATATTATATCCATTCCTTTCACTATAGTTAAGTTGTTCTGCTCTACTTCTCCCCAACACTCATGCATACCAACAGAAATCCTCTAGCTATATGACTAGAATGGGAATGTTCTTGTATGATCCGGAGTCTCTAACTACAGGGTATATTCAAGAGCTAATACCTCAGCTAATATCAACCAATCATTTCACTCCATCTTCCGCACCAAAGCGACTGTCCAGGGGTGAGTGCTTTATACATGAGAAACCATTATAGCCTTTTGCTATTTGTTTCTCACTTAATGAATAGTTCTTTTATTTTCTGCTTGTGGCTGTGACTATTGCTGCTTGGATTTTTCGCCCCATAGAAAATTTCCCTGCAGCAGGTAACACTAGATCTACACAAGCAAAAAATGGGAGGCAGAGAATTAACTTTTGTAGCTTTCCATCCTCTTATTCCACTTATCTCTGAAATCAAATATTCTAAAAGGAACAGGTTAGGGTTTTGTGAGTTGATATATTCTACTTTTATTTTTTGCTTTAGCTAGTGAAAAATCAGTTCCTGTTCCTTGTTATTACTTATAATAAAGTGGAAATCCCACTGAAACATGAATGTCAGTTTTTAATATAAATTTTATTAAAGTATAACATACACAAAAGTACACAAAAACATCTAATTTAATGAAATTCTTAGAAAATGAACACAATAGATGAAATCAATCACTTTGGGTCCAGAGCAATTTGACTAGCTACATAACTGTATGTACCCCTCTCTTCTAAAGAAAGAAAATGAAGGGTATTCTTATATATGAACTAAATTATGCTGGCAACAATCTTACCTGTGTCCACTCATTAGTTTGTGGATCATAAGATTCCATGGTGTTGAGGTATGTCTGCCCATCATAGCCACCAACGGCATACAATCTGTCACCAAGGAGACAAACTCCAACAGCATCTCTGGGCATACTCAAAGGAGCCACCATGGTCCATGTGTCTGTTTTGGGATCGTATCTAAAATGTAAGGATAACAAGACATATTCTAATCATATTCAGTTTTCACCATATAAATGATACCCTTTCAAAAGCATGCATGAAAGACAAAACTAGTTTGTTCTAAAAGCTCATTTATTTGAGCAGGTACCTCAGAGCTAATATCCACAATGTCTGGCTCTCTAAATTTTAAAGTATTTTAAAATATACCTAAATCCTTACATATACAGATGCAGAGTCATTTAACAAAATGAATATAATGATTTCTTTCCATGAGGAAGTCAGATATTTAAGTCACTATTTACCACAGTATAAGCAAAGTGTTGTGGTAATGAAGCAGAAGTAACTGTTAAAAATCTGGGAGGGGAAGCACAGTGAAGATGGTGGCCAAGTAGGTAGAAGCTGAGTCTTCTTGCTCACATCCCCAGCACAGATTTTTTAGCTGATCTTCTGACAAGTGGCCTGAACAACCAATGGGCTCTTAGCTGTTAATGAATTTTTGAAGCCAAGGAGTATAGAGGAAGCTTTGTACCATTTGGTAAGAGATTTTATAAGTTGAAGGGGAAATACCCTGTGCAAGGTGCTGGCAGCAAGGGAGAGAACAGAGGCGAGAAAATGCAGTTTAGTAGCTCCTGCTCCTCCTGGAGTGGTAGGCCCTGTTCCCACTCAGGGCCCCCCAACCCTAATCAAGAGAGACTTGGGAGGATACATGGAGTCTCGGAGACTCAGGCTGCACACACACAGCAAGCAGCACATCCATAGCTACAATGCCAAATGGAAGGGTCCAAGAGAAGAATTCTATCTCCTAGAACTGTCAGAGGCACTGGCAGGCTGTGGCTAGCCCTGACTGTGAAAGACTCTTTGCCTTTTGGGGAAGTCAAGTGAATGGAGAACCAGACAGTTGGCTCAGAGCTGCAGCGTGAGTGCCACATAGGGACTTTTTTAAAGAGGAGAGTGGAGGCATGGCTGAGCGGGGAACACACTTCTGTGCGCAGCTGCCCTGCTAACAAAGAAGCCAGATTCAAAGCACAGTTCATGCCCACTGAACCTAGCTGGCCAGGAAGAGTAGAAGACTGTAAGGTGGAGATTATGGGGTCCCACCCAGTGGTGCTGGCAAGAGGAAGGCTGTGCACAGAATGGAAGGTTTGGGTCTGAGCCTCCTGCGAGAGCTGCGAGCTAGGAACTGGGCAAGCTAAAGTACTCCTTCCAGCCAGGTAGGACCACTCCACCTATAGTGTACAAACCTCTGGGAAGGGGAAGACATGCCCATCCCTCACCTGCAGGATTACAAACTTCATAGAACAGTAAGGTCAGAGTCACCACCCTGCTGGGTGCACATTCACAGGGGAAAGAAAGAAAATTTACGAAGGAGCCCTTTATGAATTTTTACCAGAAGCTATGCTGGCTCCTCCTTGGACCCTATTCCATTGAAAACAGCACAGAAGAGAGGTTAGAAAATGGCACAGCAACAGGTATTTGGGGCCCCACTGAACCTTGGCTCTTAGAATTGCCATCAGCACAAAGCAGTGTTATCTCCTACATTTCACCTTGGTCTTCACCGTCAGAGTGTAAGTTCTGTATCAGGGACTCAATTAAAGTTTATAGCCCTCAGGCAAGAGAAGCATCAGTAAATAAATGGTGGCTAAAATTGGCTGTGAAGTGAAAACTTGCTGAAGTTATATGGTAGTCCCAGAACAAGAGTTAGTTGGTCATTGAAAAGCCTATGGAAGTTTTTAAGGTACCATTAATTTTCAAGCATAGTCATTTCTATAGTTTAAGGGTAAGAATCTTAAAATATTTAAAAGAAAATTGCTTTAAATATAAAAACATTATTTGATAGCAAATAGAATTAGAAATGTCCATTTTTCTAAATTCATATAGGCAATATTCTTCTGGAAAGCAAATTAAAAAACAAAGAAATGCTTTGTAGCCAGGCATGTTTCACTGTAAAACAACACAAATAAGGAAACAAAGAAAGAAAAAAGAAAAAAAAATGAAACAGCTCTGAAAGAGTTTATAGATTTCTCATAAGTGAATTCTACAATCTATAATTGAGTTGATCTTAGTAAATTATTTGTGAATTACAAGTGACAAGTTGTCATAACAAATAATTTTGTTTTTTTTCTGTAAATAAAACTGACATCTTACCAGGTATCATAATATTATCGGTTAAAATAACTTAATAATTAACATTAATTTCTATTTCTTCGTCAAAGTTATCTTGGGATTTAGGGTTGCTTCCATTTTTATCTAAATTATAAGACCAAGTTTTTCATGTATATACATTGAGAATCACAATCCACAGGTATTTTTAATTTAATAAGGACTGCATTTTACCCATAAATCAATTTAGAGCAGAATTTGTGTTTTTATAATTTTCAGTCTTCCAAGCCATAAAAATGGCATTCCCTTCCATTTACTTAGGACTTTTTAAGTTTTTCTCAAAATGTTTTATTTTTTCTTTAGTGACATTGCATATATATTGAGAAATTTATGGCTAGATATTTTAAAACTATTTTAATAGTAGTTTTATATGTTAATTTTGTCATTTATTGCTTACATGTAGAAATACAATTAATTGTATGTATTGACTGAGTATACAGCAACCTTATCAATTAATTTATTAATTCAAATAATTTCTTTTTTTAAAGGTTTTATTTATTTATTTTTAGAGTGAGGAGAAGGGAGGGAGAAAGACAGGGAGAGAAACATCAATGTGTGGTTGCCTGTCATGTGGCCCCCACTGGGAGCCTGGCCTACAACCCAGGCATATGCCCCAACTGGGAATAGAACAGGCATCCTTTGGTTCATAGCCCTCGCTCAATCCACTGAGCTACACCAGCCAGGGCTCAGATAATTTCTATTTAAATTCTAATTAAATTATCACTAGATATATGCCATGCAAATTTGAACACTGAAAGTTTTATTTATTACTTTGTAATTATTATTTTTTTTCCTTTTGTTGACTTATCATTGGCTACTCTATTAAAATGTTGAAAAACAGTGGTATCCGTAGTTGTGTTTTTTCTCACTCTAATAAAAATTTCAAAACAAAGTATTTTAATATCTATCATTTTTTGTACTATTTTCTCTTCCAAATTTGGTGAGATTTTTTATTATAATTGGTGTTTATTTTTTATCTTTACTTTTGCATCTATTCAGATGTTTATTTTATTACCATGTTGAGTTACATTGGTTAACTTTTCTATGTTAAATCAAACTTATTTTTCTGGAATAAATTCAAATTTGTTGAGATATACTCCTTTTGATTTATATATAAGTCTGATTTGCTGATATTTTTTTCAGATATTTGCATCTCTGTTCTGAGAAAGTTAGCTGGCATTATTTTTCTTTCTCTCGTTTTTTTTCCTGTATTAATATTTATATAGTTGTATTTTTTATAAATCTGTTCATTTCAGCTAACAATTCAAATAATGGTATAAACATATTCAAATAATCTCATTATATAGTCTACAGGATATACAGTGACCTACTTTTTACTTCTTATAAAAGTATTTTTTCTTTTTTTCTTGACAATTTAGCATGTAGTTTATTAATTTTATTGCAAGTGTTCAGAGAAACACCTTGGGCTTCTTTTAAATTCTCTCTCTAGCATGCTTTATTTTTTCTACTGTATTTCACTACTGTATTTCTTTTCTTTTTTGTTATAATATAGTTTCTTGAGATGGAAGCTGAAATTTTTGCATTTCAGCTTTTTAATTTGTTAAATACATGAAATTAGGTCTGCATATTTCTCTGTAAGAACTTCTTTAGCTACATTCCATAGAATTCGGTATATCATATTTTTGTTATCATTCAGTTCAAAATATTTCCTAACTTGAGCTATGTGTTATTTAGAAGTATATTGCCTAATTTCAAATAATTATTTTTAAAAATTATCTTTGTTATTTATTTATGGGTAAATTCTACTTTGATCATAACATGTTCTATGAGATTCCAAGCTTTTGAAATTTGTTGGTGTTTATTTTATGACCAGAAATTGTAAATTTTGGTAAATATCCCATATTGCCGAAAAATATCATCTATGATGGTAATCAATACTGAACTACAATTACTTAATTTTTTCCCCAGAAGTTATATGTGATAAACTAAAATGAGGAAAGAAAATGATTTCCATTTCAAGCATATGATTATCTACCCTAAAATTTAATTATTTGAATTATCTTAGAAGAAAGTTGGTTCTATAAAACATAAATATATGGAAGGTTACCATTTTCTTAATAACTTGTTTAATGGACCCAGCTTTTGCACTACCACAGATCTGCATGGCTTATCTGCCTCCATGAGCCTAGCTGGAGAAGCCTTAGGGATTATTTACTCAGTATTATGATCAGTAGACCCTGATGTCTTTTGGTGCTCATGTTTCTACCCCCAAAATGGGCCCACAAGGTCTATGAAACCTGTAAAAGGGGGTTGGCTGCAAATCAGATCTGTGGGACTGGTTTCCCCAAGGCTGAGAAAAGATTCAGGTCACATGATCTCATTAACTTCCCACAAGAAAAGAGTGGAAGGAAATAAGCATTTTTACATCATTTGCCAAATGATTGACTACATATATGCAAGAGTTAACTGATAAGATGGAAAGCTGTAAGATGAAATATAGATGCAAATATATCTGATTTCAAGGTGAAAAATTGAAAATAACATGGTGTTAAAATAAATTTGGATTTGCTCATAAAAAATAAAATAAAGTAAAATATAAACAATAATTATCGATTGCTACTTTGCTGGTTTCCACCTAATAAAGCAGGCCCCTTAGTGTAATGTCTTTGAGAAGTTCCATTCCCCACTCACTGTGACTAGCATGGATCAGTGCACCTTCAGCAGGTACGATGCTAGCGGAGGTTTGATGAGTCATCGCATTAGATGTTTGTCATTTTTGTGCCACCTCCTCTTGGACTCACTCACCTTGTACCCCCATTTGGTGGGGTGTCCAAGCTACAAAGAGTCCAGTAGATGAGTACCATGGTGCTCTGGTTAAAGCCTTGGCTAAGCTCTCCAATGATAGCAAACCCTAACTGTCAGCTTTGTGAAGGGACCATCTAAAGTGTTCCAGACCTGTGGAGCTCCAAGATGGCTGTGGCATCAGGTAACAACATGCGGAGTAGAATAGCCCACCTGAGCCCAGGTAGCCCAGAAACAATCAATGTATCTATCTTATTTATCTATCTTTCTATCTAATTTATCAATTCATCTATCTTGTCTATCTTATCAATCACTTATCTATCTAGTAATCTAAATAACTATCTGTTTACCGTATATCTCAACAGGCTTTTCCTTGTGTGAACTGTAAGGCCTATTTTTCTTAGTGTCTGACTGATTCAATAAACACCCATTGAGAGCTTGCTCGGTGCCAGGAATTGTGCCAGGAGTATCAAGAAAAAGAAGCTAGTTTAGTAAAAATTTAATGTAAAATAAATAATTTTTATTATAAGATTGAGAACTGGCACTGATACAAATTATTTTGCTTTCAGATCAAATCTGCATTATAGAAAGTTGTCTCTGGCTACTCTAAAAGACTGGAGGAAGCAAGAGTAAATATCACAAAGGCAGGTGTAGGAGATTCCTATTACCTTGACACCCCTCTCCTACTAGGCCTCAGTACTGGGATGCAGAGTTGAGGAAAAGTGGTCTTGCTATGTTATTATCCAGCAGTGGGATTGATGCATTTCAGCATATTTTCTGATCCATGACCTGGTATCTAGTTTTGTTTGTGATCTTAAAATATTCTGATTTATTTGTCTCTTCCTTTCAATACCTTTTAAGCTCTATGTAGCACACTGAAAAATACATGTGAAACAGTATTTATTGAATAAGCAAATGGATGAATGTGCTTTTCCTAATGGATTGCACTTTCTGGGCCTAAATTTGCTAGAACCTACAGCATATTTTAGATATTAATTTTGTCCCCTAAGATGCCATCAGTACAGTGAGACTTGGCTACAAAATTAGTTCTCATTGTTCCATCAACTATTCTAAAGTACCTCTCTTGTTACTTGTTTTGATTTGAAGTGCCAATGTGACTTGTGTTTAAAACAACCTGACTCTTCACATTTCTTCATAAATATTATATAACTATACTTTAACACCACCATTATGTAACACTTTACATTTCTATAAGAATTATTATTACAGTAAGATATGTCCATCTACCTATCTTAGCCATCTGCTTATCTTTAAAACACAGCATTGCACACTACTTCTTGCTCTTCCTAATAATTTGTTTGCCTATGATTATGTAATAAAAACATTCTATACATGATATGTGCAAAATAATTCTATAGAGGTACCATTATGTATATTGATTTATTGATGCTGTACATGTGAAATTATCAATTGGAATATATGTTATAGAAAGTACAAAATGCTATTAATCTCACATATACTATGAGCTCAAATAAGAACCATGGTAATGATGTGCGCTTCTGCATTACCTAAGCTGCTTATACCCACTGCACTCCAGTAATTTAAAATAGTTATGCTTATTTAAATCTAATTTTACACCATAAATGTATTTCTAGACTGAATTATTTATGTCTCTGTTCACAAACAACATTTAAATACATTATACGGTAAAGTTAGAAGAGAATATGCATATGAACTATCATTTCATTAGTAATACTTATATAAGGTATTCACGGTAAAAGTAGGAGTCTCATTATATTTATCTTCTTTGTCATTTCTCCAAGAATTTAGCCATGAAAAATGTAAATAAGCTGTCAGTCTACTAACAATATTTAAAAATAATGATTGCAAGTTTGTGATTCTAAAAGTATACAAGTAGAAATATAGTAAAATATGTTTCCGCATTTTATCCAAAAAGTAGCTTAAGTTTGAAAAGAACCTGTTCACTAAAAGTTATCTCTTGCCATTGGCCTTATCCTCAGTAAAAATAATCATATACCATTAAGAATTAATAGTATAAAATATTTTACTACCTTTCTCCCACTTATAACCATGAGTATCAAGGATGTGTTTATTTTTTAATATCAAGTGAAAAATTGTTTTGGTCATCAGTGTAATCCACCAAATGTTTTGTTCTTCCAGGTATAATTCAGGACACTGTTTTCCCACCCTCATAATGCTTTCTGTGGCCATGTGCCTGTATATCATATCAAAGTCTGAATGAAAGAGAATTAAATTACTTGCAGATGGATTTTTAAGAACTAGAGAACAATGTACTATTCCAGCTTTTTTTCCACTTTCTTCATGGAGAACAGTAGTGCTCATATTGAAGCTTATCTGTCATCCTGGGTTTCCTGGTAGTGATATCATGGAATTGTCATGGACATGGAGAAGGGTATAGGAGGGTAAATGGTGAAGGGTACAGACTTGACTTGGATAGTGAACACACGATATAATGTACAGATGATATGTTGTGGAATTGTGTATCAGAAACCTCTATAATTTTTGTTAATTAGTGTCACCCTAATAAATTCAATAAAAAGGAAAAAAGGCATCATGGTACTAAGTCACTGAGTTTTGAAGTTACTTGTTACAAAGAAATATTTATCTCAGTTCATTAAAAAATTAACCTCAATATTCCCTCTTCTCACTTCCCCATATATCATCATGCATCCTTACCCAATAGGAGATATCATCATGAGCTTTTCTAACTCTCAAATTCTTACTGCACACGATACAATAGTTCTAAGTGATGCACAGTCATGAAAGAGAACTTAGGTATAACTATGCCAGAAAATGTTGGGGTTGTTGAACCAAACTGAAGCCATGGTACATTCCCACTTTAGTTTCTATGCATCTGGCCATTTAAGAAGAGTTACAAGAAGACTCATATTTTCCCCACACAACATAATTATAAATTATGCAGTTCTAATAATCTGTCTTTCATTAAGAAATGTATGGCATAAAACAAATAAGTCCATATTCATCTTTGAGAGTTTGAAGGGAGTAATAGCACAAGCATGACAGCATGAAGTAACACAAATAAAGTCATTACAAAAAAAGAATTAACATCCATTAATTTAATAAATTACTTACAATTGTATCATAACCAATTTTTAAAAACATATTCAAAAGAAATTTAAAGATCGCTTTAGGATTCTGTGAAAACATGAAGAGCTTTATATATATTTATTAGTTGAAGAAACAGAAGAAAGGAAAAGAAGGAAAGGAAGGGAAAACAAAATAAGGAAAGTGTATGTGTGAGAGAGAGAGAAAGAGCATGAGAGAGGAGCAGCTGTAGGAGTTGAATTTACCTTTTCTAAATTATAATCTTTACAATTAGGCATCAGTGTAATTTGCACTGTATCTATCACTGTAGCAGTGCCCTTGAGGTCTTACCGTTCCACATAATCTAGTAACCGGGAACAGTGATTTGAGGCAGGAGCATCATGACCTCCTACTGCATAAAGAAAACCATCACATGTGGCTACTCCAACACCACCTCTTCTCTTACACATTGGAGCACACATGTTCCACTTATTTGTATGAGGATCATAATACTCCATTGAACTCAAACATGAACTTCCATCACGACCTCCAACCGAATACAACCTAAAAAACAAAATTGGAAAAACATGATTTAATCATATAGTATGGATGACAAAATGTAGAAAAGTCCTTTAAAAATAAATTTTAATTGCAGTGTGAGCTTCAAATATATTTGAAGTACATTACCTCACATGGAAATTTTTGTTAAAGGTACTAAGTAACTGTGCATGCCGAGAGTTCATATCATTCTAATATGCAGTACACCAGATAAAATTAAAACAACTACAATTTCCTACATTATTTCTAGAATGTTACTTAGCTTTAAACTGCTTATGACATAATTAACTATGTTAACATTAATTTTTAAAATATTGAGAAATCTACTTAAAATATAAAATAAGAGACATGTACTTCTAATTTTTTTTTAAAATGGCCACAATCAAAAGAAAACTGATGATCTTATTTGATCAGCAGTTAATTTGCACTAGCAAATAAATCATGCCCACTTCTTGTATTCATTCTGTCCCCACAGTTTAGGATGCTGAATAAATGAAATATCTAAATAAATATTGTCATAGATCAACTTCCTTAATCAGCGCTTACACTGTAACAAATGTGTCACATAGATAAACAAGACTTTACAAGAAAAGAGGGTGCAGAGATGTTAGTCTGATTGAATATTGCTGAAACTTACCAGTACACTCATTTTCCTAATGAAAAGAATGCTACATTCCTAATGAAAAGTAAGCTACAAAAGTATGCCAGGAAAATAAGTACTAAAGCCTTAACGTTACTTAAATCATTGGAAATACTCTATTTCTAATAAAATAGATTTGTCTGTTTGATCATAGCCATGAAAATTTCACCACACTGAGGTACAGTTGCATTTATCTAGTCATTCATTCAAAACGTATTCTTGAATACCTACTTTGTAGCACATTATCTGAAGGGTTTTTTTTTATTGTTGTTCAATTATAGCTGTCCCAGTTTTTCCCCATTGTTCTCCCATACCCCACCTTCCCCCTCCCACAGTCCATCCCCGCCTTGTTGTGCATGTCCATGGGTCATTTATACTTGCTTTTTAACTAGACTCTTCCCTTTCTTTCCCCCCTTATCCCTTTCCCCACTCCCTTCTGGTGCCTCAGTCTGTTCCTTGTTTCCATGCCTCTGGTTCTATTTTGCTTGTTTGTTTGTTTCATTCATTAAGTTCCACTTATAGGTCAGACAATATGGTATTTTGTTGGGAACCGCCCTGACTGGTATCAGAAGCTGAAACCCCCGCCTAGGCTAAGGCTAAGGGAACACCCTTGGAACCGTAAGCCAGCAAGGAGACAAAAGCTTATCTTCCTGGCAGGAATGCTGCTTCTGCTGCTTTATTTATAACTGAACCCCCCAAAGTTTGGTCGGTTAGCCAAAGAGGGGTAAGATTCCCCACGGTGGGAACGACCTAAGACAGGCACGATCACTTTGGGAGGCCCCCCAAAAGAAGGACTTGGGGGGCTGCAGCAAAAGGGGGTGATGGACCCTCGCTCCTCGGCTTTGACATAGCCTGAGTTCTCAGCGTCTGAGAAAAAACCTCCTTGTCTCCCAGTTGCCTTAGTTCCCTTGCTCCACCTAAGCCTGAAACAATGACAGGGTGGTGCAGCTCGGTACTGAGAAGTGCGGATTCCCCAGGGTGATCAGGCCTAAGAAAGAACATGTAAATTACTGTGAAACCTTCTTTGTTTAGAATGCTCTCAGTTGAATGAGAAGGGTCTTAGGAGGAAGTTAGTTTGTTCCTCAGTCTTACAGCTCTTTGACCCCCGACTCAATAGACTGGCAGAGTTCTTTGTTTTCTATGGTTCCTTACTTCCCCCAATGAGTACTGTACTTTACCTGAATTATTATGCAGAATGAGCCCAATAAAAGCAGGTATGGACTGTAAATCGGCGCGCTCCCCACTAGGGGGGGTTGCCATTTCGTCCCTACTTCCCCACAGAAACTAGTCTGTCTCTGTGCATGTGTGTTTTTTCTCGTGTGTTTATCGTGGAGCCATCCACAGCGTTCCGTGGTCACTGCTGGCCGGTGACCCACGCACAACAGTATTTATCTTTTGCTGCTTGGCTTATTTCACTTAGCATAATGCTCTCCAGTTCAATCCATGCAGTTGTGAAGGGTAGGAGTTCCTTCTTTCCTTCTGCTGCATAGTAATCCATTATGTAAATATACCACATTTTTTTGATTCACTCACTTACTGATAGGCACTTAGGCTGTTTCCAGCACTTGGTTATTGTACATAATGTTGCTATGAACACTGGGCGCATAGTTTCTTTTGGATTAGTGTTCCAGGATTCAAAGGGTACAATCCCAATAGTGGCATTGCTGGATCAAAAGGCAGTTCCATTTTTAATTTTTTAAATGATTTTATTTATTTATTTTTAGAGGGGAACAGAGAGAGTGACAGAAACATCAATGTGTGGTTGCCTCTCATGCACCCCCTGGAAGCGGGGGATCTGGCCCACAACCCAAGCATGTGCCCTGGCTGGGAATTGAACTGGTGACCCTTTGGTTCACAGCCTATGCTCAATCCATGAAACTATACCAACCAGGGCTCCATTTTTAATTTATGAGGAAATTCCATACTGCTTCCCACAGTGGTTGCAGCAGTCTGCATTCCAACCAACAGTGCACTAGGGTCCACTTTTCTCCACAACCTTGCCAGCATTTATTGTTTGTTGATGTATTAATGATGACCATTCTGAATGGTGTGATGCATTATCTCATTGTGGTTTTAATTTGCATCTCTCTGATGGCTAGTGATGTTGAGCATTTTTTCATATGTCTCTGGGCCTTCTTTATGTCCTCCTTGGAGAAGTGTCTATTCAGGTTCTTTGCCCATTTTTTAATTGGATTGTTTATTTTCTTGGCTTGAGTAATGTGAGTTATTTATGTATATTTGGAAATCAAACCCTTGTCTGAGACATCATTGGCAAATATGTTTTCCCATATGGTTAGTTCCCTTTCCATTTTGATGACATTTTCTTTAGTTGTGCAGAGGCTTTTTAATTTGATGTAGTCCCATTTGTTTATTCTTTCCTTTATGTCCCTTGCCCTAGAGGATGTACGAATGAAAATATTGCTGCATGGGATATTTGAATTTTTCCTGCCTATTTTTCTTCTAGGACATATATGGTGTTGTGATTTATGTTTAAGCCTTTTATAAAGTTTTGCAGACATATCCATGAACAAAATAGGAAAAAATCTGCACTTAATTCTTCTGGAGCAAGGGATAGACATGATATACAAAATAAACATATACACTACTTTTTAATTTATTTATTTATTATTTTTTTAAATTTTTCAAGTACAGTTGTCTCCATTTCCCCCTCACCACTTCCCTCCTCCCCACTCATTCTCACCCCTACCCTCAATCCTCCTCCCACTTGTGGCTTTGTCCATGGGTCCTTTATAGAAGTTCCTTGATGACCCTTGCCTCTTTACTCCTAGTTATTCCCTCCACTCTGGTTACTATCAGTTTGTTCTTTATTTCAATACCTCTAGTTATATTTTGCTTGCTTATATGCTTTGTTGATTAGGTCCCACCTATAGGTGAGATCATATGGTATTTGCCTTTCGCCACCTGGCTTATTTCACTTAGCATTGTGCTCTCCATATTCATCTATGCAGCCACGAAGGGTAGGAGCTCCTTCTTTCATTCTACTGTGTAGTATTCCATTGTGTAAATGTAACATAGTCCCCCCCCCCCAGAAATAAACCCAAGTCTCTATGGTCAATTAATATTCAAAAAAGGGGGCAGAAGCATAAAACGGAGTAATAAATAATAGCCTCTTCAACAAATGCTATTGGGAGATCTGGACAGCTACATGCAAAAATATGAAAGTCGACCACCAGCTTACACCATACATAAGTATATATACTTCTTAATAAAGTGCTAAGTGCTGCAGATACAGAACAGGGAATTGTGGGCAGGAGTGCAACTGGTAAGGGGGAGGCATTGTTATAACAATTTTAAATGTATGACTAGAAAATGTATGTCTCGCTGAGAAGATGATGTTTTTTGAAGATGTTAGTGGTTAGAGGTGAATTCAGAAATATCTGTGGGAAAAGATGTAAGGGAGATGGAGTAGGTCAGCACAAAGTTCCAGGAGTGGCATGGGAGCTGGAGTGGCTGGAACGCACATTGAGGGTGGTATGGCAGACAAGGTGAGAGGCGGGGTGCAGGGTGAACCTCATACAGGTATTTGCAGACATTCACTCCGAGTGAAACAGGAAGCCATAGACATTTTTTGAGCAGAAGGGTGATATGACTTGTGTTTTAATAAGGTTAGATATGAAATGTTTGCCTTACTAGTGGACATTATGCTTAATATAATGATAAAAAGACTTAATTCTATACTTTTCCATTTATACATGAATACACAAGAGGACATTATTGCTTAGCATATCAAGTAATTCAGGTTTTATTTATGTTTGCATTCTAGTATCCTTTAATAACTAAAATATGATAGTTAAACTGATTCAAAGCCTGGAGGCTTTTTAAAAAGCTGTTTATATTCCTCTTTGTGCTTGTCATGATGAAGTGTTTCTGATTGCCCAAGTGTGAGGCTTACGGATATCCCTGTTTGCTTGGTTACTCACAAGTTGTTTGTCAGCTCTCAGTCTTGCAACGTATTGGTATTAACCAATAGGAGCAGTTGAAGACAAGTTTTGTACAATTCTCCTTGCAAAGGCACTCAGGAGTCTTTATCTTCCTAAATACTGTATGAAATTTGAACTTCATTTATTTGTTTTATTTAAACTGAAGATCTAACTCAAAAGAAGTATGCTATAATCTTGATGCGTTATTAAAATTTAACTAATTTTTTGGAGGAATTTTGCTTATTGGGTATGTTCATATGAAGTACATAGTTTATGTGTAAGAAAACTATCCCCTTCTTTGGTCTATTATTTTAAAGAAATTATTGACTTTAAGCTGCTCTATAAATTTATATATATTACTATGATAAATTATAATATTGTGCCCTGGCTGGTGTAGCTCAGTGGATTGAGCACAGGCTGCAAAC